GAGCTCCCGTTCTGGCCCCTCCCGCCCCTCGGCTCGGGGATGGAAGGGGAGCGCGGCAGGCCCCCCCTCAGCGCCCCCGAACCTAGCAACGCGGCAGCCCGGGCCTAGCTGAACCACCGAGGCAGAGGTCACACAAGCCTGGGGGCGAGTCTCCATGGTGACGGGCAGACGCCGCCACCAATTACGTCCGGTGCCTGTTGGTTTCTTCCCCCGCCTCGCGCCTCGCTTGGGTGACTGACAGTTCGCTCAGGGCGCGGTTACGTAGGGGGCGGGCCGAGAGCCGCCCCACCCCGCGGAGCGGATTTGATTGGCGAGCAGGCGTGCGTTCCGCCCCACGCCCCCGGAAGAGCGTCCTAGACGAGCAGGCCGGGCAGCCAGTGGGCGCCGGGAGGCTGGGCGGAAGTGCTGGGCCAGGGGCGTGGGCGGGGGTGGAGCCCGGCACAGAGCAGGGAGGGGCGGGGACACGGCCGGGGCCGCCCTGACGCTGCAGCCGGAGATGCTGTCGGGCCGCGAGGGCGCGTAGCAGCAGGGAGCGCTGCGGTGAAGGCCGAGGTGAGGGGCACCGCGAGGTGGGACGTGGGCGGGCCAGGGCCGCGGTCCTCGCGCCCCCCCCCCGGGCCCTAGGCGTCCCGGGCGGTAGGGGCAGTTGTCCGCCCCGCTGGGCTCTCCGACCCTGCGACGGTGGCCGGGCTGGGACATGGGGGCGGGGCCGGGCACCTGTCCGCGTTTGCAGGCACCTGCGGCTGAGGGCGCCCGGCGGCTGGGGGGGCGCCCGGGGGCCGGGGCCGCACTGGAAGGCAGAAGGCGGGCCGGGCCAGTCTGCTCGCTGCCCCTGGAGCCCACCCTGCCGCCCGGGTCCCCGAGCCTGGCTCGCGTCCCCGCATCCCGCCTGGGGGCGGGGGGTACCCCCAAAGGCCCCCCAGTACCCCAGTGTCCGAGGGGCTCACGGTCAGGGCGACCTCGCGCTAGTTGCCTGGCCGCACGGGGCCAGTGCCTTGCATCACCTCGAGACAGGTTTGTCCAGATTCTCGGCGTGTGTGGAGATGGTTTCCGCCCCAGGCGGGGGTGCCTGTCCAGGCTGCGCGGGCGCTGGGCCAGCCCCCCTCCCCTCCCTTCCCCTCCCCGCCGTTTGCGTCTCTTCTCTGGGCTTCTCTGTGCTCCTTAACATGGACTTTCTTAAGCCTGCTCGGGCGATGTATAAGTTGGTGCCCGCGGAGGCACTAGGGCACATAGGAAGAGGGTGGCCCCCGTCTCCAGTGTTGACTCAAACCCTGGCCGGGGTCATCGGACAGGTCCAGGCGGACGGCTGCTCGGCCTTGTGGCGCGAGGGCACAGACGTGTCTTGTTTGTGCAGCAGAAACTGTAAAGTGGTTTCCTAGTGACTGGGACTGTCGTGCGCCGTCCATCTAACGTCAGCCCTGTTGGAAACCAGTGTGTAGATGAGGTGGACATCGGTGAATGGCACGTTTAGTCCGGAAAAGTGGACTGAAAACACTCCGGGTGGTGGACCTGGATGTGCAGGTAGCAGGGGGTGGAGAGTCTGGACTCCAGGCAAAGCCGGGATTCATTCTGTTCTGGACTTGAAAGGGCTCTGCGGGGTCAGGGCCACCCTAGCGCATCGCAGTGGGCGCACCTGCTGGCCCCGGGTCCCCTGGTCCCCTGTTAGACCAGGCCTGGCCTGGCCGCTGGGGAGGTGCTCTGTTCCTGCTGGAGCACCTGGGCCACGCCCCCACAGCTCTGCGAGGGCCCAGACATTCCATCTGGCCTCCTCCCCGAAAGCGGCTGGGCCGGCACAGGAGAGCCGGGTCCTTGGCCCTCTGGCTTCCTGCCAGTGGGCACTGGCGGGGGATGGACACCTGCCCACCTGTGGCTGTCACAGGCCGCAGAGGAAATGAGTTTCTGCTTTCAGAGACAAGGGGTACGTGATCCTTTAATGATTCACTTGCATCGCTGCTTTGACCCCTTTCACCTTCAGCCTTCGGCTGGCGCCAGCTGGCCGAGGCCAGCTCGGCTGTAGGCACCCAGGAAGTGAGCGGTGTGGGACTGTCCTGGGCCTTGCTGGCTGCCTTTGGTAAACGGCCCACTGACTCTGTGGCCTTTGGGACGAGCTTGCTTCGCTCGTGAGCCGCCCTTGGCCTTCCTCTGCACCCTGCGCCCGGCAGCAGCTTAACACACGCAAGGCGCTTCTGTGCCTGCCGAAGTGGAAGAGGCCAAGCAGGTGCCTCGCCCCTCTGAAGCCCCACCTGCCCTGGCTCTGACTCCCTGGCTGCGAGTTTCACGGAAGAAAGTCATCCTGTACTTGAGACGGCTCATGGAGAACCTCCCGTCTGCCCCCCCGGGATCTGGATTTCACAGGCCTTGGGAGCCGCCCGGACAGTGCCTTTGGCCCTGGCACGCTGGTCTGGGCCCGGGTCTCGCGCTCGCCGCCGCTGCGCGCCCGTGCCTGTGTGCCTGGCACCCCAGCGGATCGCTGGCACTGGCTGTTCTGAGTCCTGGCCGGGGACTGGCACGCAGGCCCCAGGCATTCCCAGGTGGGGGGGCCGGGAGGGCGCGACCGAGGGGCCCTGCGGCCTCCACTTGGGCCAGGGGCTGCGCGGCCCCGTGAGTCTGACTGCCGTGCGGTGCCGCCCGCTTCCCCTGTGTTTTCAGGTCCAGTGAATCGGAGGAAGCGTTTGATGACACAGACCCGGACTGCTCTGGCGGGCGCGTTATGAACCCTTTCTGGAGCATGTCGGCAGGCCCCGCGCGCAAGGTGGGCACCGCGGGAGCCAGCTGGCGGCCTCCGCAGGGCGGAGGGCAAAGTCAGTACCAGGTGACGGTGTCGCGGAAACAAAGCAGCCTGCTTTCTCTGGTGTAGGGTTTGCTTTGGAGAAGTGGCTTTGTCCGTTGCAGTTAGTTTCTGTGACGGGGCTCACGTCGCACGCGGAAGCCCATCGGGTAGGTGAGCACAGCCGCAGCCACTCAGGCGCGCGACGTTCCCCGGTGGAGCTGATTTGTTCATGAACTACCAGAGCCCAGTCAGAAGCTGCCGGCTGCCAGCCACTGCGGACAGGCCGGTCTCGGCACTGGCTTAGATTTCCTGGGGGAGGTCTGCTTTCATTGTAAGAGCCACGCATTTCCATTGTGGGGTGGACTAAGCTGTACTAAAAGAAAGTAAACATTACCCATAATTCCACCCCAAGAGATTACCACCATTGTTAATCACCTTTTAGTTATTTTTAATACAGCTAATTGAAAAGCTCTTGGCTGGCCTTGTGCCAAGGAGGGGTCTAGGAGGTGGTAATTAAAGCCTTTGACTCGCTTAGACCTTTGTCTGAGGAGGGCGAGTGTGTGTTGGCGACCACGTACCTGCAGATCGCTCCTGTTGGGGCCGAGCAGCGTCCTCCTCTTGCTGCCCCAGGTGGTGACCGTTGGCCACCTCCTGTCTCTCGGTGCGGGGCCTTATCCAGTCTGTTGTGCGACTGCATAGTCGCCCCGGCCGCCTCCTGGGGCCACCCAGAGAAGCCTCCTTACTCCTGTCCCTCGGGCCCCACACTACTGACCCTGTCGTCGTAGAGGATGCAGGAGCCGGCACTCTGCCCTGGGGACTGGCCCGTGGCCGCCCGCCTGCGGGCCTCCCCCGGCCTCCTGCCCTCGCGGGCGCCCTTGCGGGAGAGGACTCCGCAGCAGAGGGAAGCGCCATCCTAACAGCCCTTCCCACTTCGCCTTCGACAGCGATCCGAGGGCGACGAGAAGACGCTGACGGCGGACGTGAAGACCAGCCCTCCGCGCGCGGCTCCGAAGAAGCAGCTGCCGGCCATTCCCAAGAACGCGCTGCCCAGCACCAAGCCCACGTCTCCCGCCCCCGCGGCGCAGCCGACCAACGGCACGCACGCCTCCTACGGCCCCTTCTACCTGGAGTACTCGCTGCTGGCCGAGTTGTGAGTTCTCAGCGGGGCGCCGGTCGCGGGCCCTCTAGGCACCCTCAGGCGGGCAGGGGTGGCTCTTAGCCGAGGGTCAGCCCGCCCACCAGGGCCCGCCTCCAGGGCGCCTCTCCGGGGCGCGCTCTGCTGCAGAGCCTGGGGAGGAAACGGAGCAGAGACCAGGGCTGATCCCGACCTGTGTGGCCAGGGCCTTAGTCTGTCCTACGGGCTCGCGTTCCAGGAGCTCCTGCTGAAGCCATGCTGCCCTGCCTGTCCCTGCCTGGGCCCGCCTGGGCGGGCTGGGCTCTGCTGCGATGGGCCTGACCCCCGAGGTGACCCTCGGGCAGTGGGCCTGAGGCCCTTCCTGACGACCGCTGTGGAGGGGGCCGCAGTCGCTGCCTGCAGACGCTGAGTGAGCACTGAGTGTGTGAAGGTTTCTCACACTTTCCGAGAGGGGATTCGAATTACCCTGTGTCAGTTACGGAAAAGTTGGCAAGATGTGGACCCATGTTCGTGCCAACCCGAGTAGCTGCGGAGATGGCAGTGGGACTGGTGTGGGCGCGAGCGAGGCTTTGCAGGCGCCGTGTGGCGACACAGCGCTGCCCGGCATGGAGGCTGCCAGGAGGGCGTGCGGATGCGTCTGGGTCTGACGATGCGGCGTCAGTAACGGTGCAGCTCCTCTGTACAGAGGTTGTTCCGGCAGTGTCCAGGCAGTGTCCCCCTGTGCTGGCGCTTCTGGTCCGAGGCCCGGGTGCTGCACCGGGTGCAGCCTGCGCCTGCCGGCGTCCTGGTAGAGGCCTGTGTCTGGGCTGGGCAGCGGGGTGGGGAGGCGTCTGTTGTGGCCGTGGCCTGCGGTCATGTTAGGGCACAGAGCTGCCTTCTGGCCAGCTGGTGCTACTGGTGTGACAGGACACCCCGGTGTGGACGGGGCCGCCTGTCTGTGGGGCCTCACCCGCGCGCTTAAAGTTCAGTTGCCCCGCAGGCGCACACAGAACTCTGCAGAGTTCCTTTAGGGCATCCTCCCCCTTGACACTGGGTACACCTGCCGTCCGTCCAGTGCCACACGCCACGTTGCAGCGGTTCAGAGGTGCCGTGACTACTTGCAAATGAGTAAGATGGCCACTGAGCCCAGGACGGGGCCTGTCGGGGAAACTCAGGCCTGGCAGGCCTTGCATGCTCAGGCTCTAGGTCAGCGGGGCTCGCTGAGGGGCAGGGGAGGGAGCAGAATGTCTGTTGGCAGGGTGACTGGGTCCCTGAGGAGCCAGTGCAGCCTGGGCGCCCCCTCGCCACGTCCCCCGCAGCTCAGGGAGTCGGTCTGACTGGGGGTGAATTTCCCAGCAGCACCCAGCATGGGACGCCAGCCCAGCGCCCACCTTTCCCACCACGGTGCAGCTGCAGACACGGCCCTCTGCGTCCAGCCTTGTGTTTGAGGGTGGCGTTTTAGTGTGTGGGGGTGACATCTGCTGCACACAGGCTTAACACCCAAAACTTAGCCATGGCTCGGGGCCCCGACGTTTCGGTGTGGTTGATTTCTGAGCACAAACTTTGTCTATTCTGCTTTGGCTTTCATTTTTAATCTGGGGCCCTTTGCGGGGCGGGGACCGGTGTTTCTCTGAGCTTGGGTCCTGCAGTCCAGATGTGGGCAGCAGGGGGGCGGGCGCGACCCGCCCCGAGCTGGCTCGTGTGGGCAGGGCCGCCGCCGGGCCGCCACCCGCTCACGTCACTCTCGCTGTTCCAGCACGCTGGTGGTGAAGCAGAAGCTCCCGGGCGTCTACGTGCAGCCGTCGTACCGGTCCGCATTAAGTAAGACGACTCACGCTTCCCTTGCGCGCGCGGGCCCCTGGCGTGCGGCTGTGGCTCAGCCTGCCGCTTTCCCCCGCAGTGTGGTTCGGCGTGATCTTCATCCGGCACGGGCTCTACCAGGACGGCGTGTTCAAGTTCACGGTCTACATCCCCGACAACTACCCCGACGGCGACTGTCCGGTGAGTGGCCGCCGGCGCCACAGCCTGGCGCGGAGGGCGTGCGGCCCCGCCCGTCTGGCTTCTCTTCCTGACGGAGCAGTTAACATTCTGATGGTGTCAGCGTCTGAAACGTGTTTGCTCAGTGGCCCTGCAGGGCTGTGCCCGCCCCCTCTCTGCTCGCCTCTGCTCAGAGGACGCATGTGGGGCCTGAAGGGACAGCGGCCTAACTGACCGGTGCCGGCCTGGCCGTGCTGTGGTAGAGAAAAGGGACTTCCCGCGGGCGCAAAATTGTAGTCTTACAGGAAGAGGGTGAAAGTGGCGAGGGAGCCCCCCGCCCCAAACCTGCCCGGGCCCCCCCGCCCCCTGAGGTTTGGGGTGGGGGGTGGCCGCTGCCACTCAACGCCCATCTTTAACACAGCGCCTGGTGTTTGATATTCCGGTCTTCCACCCGCTTGTGGACCCCACTTCGGGGGAGCTGGACGTGAAGAGAGCCTTTGCCAAATGGAGGTCAGTACTGAGGGCTTGTGGGGCGCCGGGCCGGCCGCGAGATGCCAGTCAGCAGCCGTGTTTCCCCCAGGCGGAACCATAACCACATCTGGCAAGTGCTGATGTATGCCAGGAGGGTCTTCTACAAGATCGACACAGCGAGCCCCCTGAACCCAGAGGCTGCAGTACTGTATGTCACTCGGCTTCGTTATCTAGTAGTCTGACGTTGCAGCCAAGAGGATTCTGTGAGTAACTTTGACTTAAACTTTGAACACAGGTATGAAAAGGATGTTCAGCTTTTTAAAAGTAAAGTGGTGGACAGCGTTAAGGTGTGCACTGCGCATTTGTTCGACCAGCCTAAGATCGAAGACCCGTACGCCATCAGGTGAGTGCTCACGAGCCCGGGGCCCACACCCTGGTGCGGCTGCGGGTTCCGGGGCGGGGGGGGGCCTGAGACTGGGGTTTAGAGGGTTGGTTCGTCAGCTGGTAGCTCCGTCTTTGTAACCTGACAGCTCAATCCCTGACCCCTCCCTGAAACAGTGGTAGATGGCTGGCGCATTGCTTCAGTGGCGAACTGCCTGGGCCTCTGGTTCCCCCAGAGTGCCAGGACCCCTCTTCTCAGTTGGCTGCCTTCAGTCAGAGCCCCTTAAGGACCTCCCCCCCCCCCAGCCTGGGCACCAGAGGGGCTGAGCCGCTGTTGCTAGGGCGCTGTGGAACACAGATGGTCAGTGATTTTGCTCCTGCGCTGCTGGGGATGCCGTGGAAAGTGGGCTCGGCTGCTGCACTTACTGGCTTTGGGGGCCCCTAGCAGTTATTTCACCCTAAAGCTGGTACCCAGGGGCTGCTGAATGAGGCTTACGCAGGCCAGCCCATGCCAAGTGTGCTGTGAACGGTAAGCACACGTGGACACCATTGGTCACGTCTAAGACGTGCGTGTTGGCGACAGCCTAGTGACGCCTCACTGAGCGTGTTCAGTTTGGTAGGGGAACTGGCTTGAGTGCCAGACGGGCGCTCGCATCAGTAAGCTAAAGCAGGGCTCTCGTGTCTCCTCCACAAGCTTTTCTCCGTGGAACCCTTCTGTGCATGATGAAGCCAGAGAGAAGATGCTGACTCCAAAGGTGAGTGGACCCGCCCTTGGCCACCGCTCATAGCTGCTCACTCTTTCCTCCCTAACTGTCTTCACATACAGATAACATTTTGGAACCTGAGGTTTGCACAGTGCCAGCCACCTCCTCATCAGTGCTTTCTTCTGTCTGTCTTTTGATTGCACCCAGAAGAAGCCTGAAGAGCAGCACAATAAAAGTGTCCACGTTGCTGGCCTGTCATGGGTGAAGCCCGGCTCAGTGCAGCCTTTCAGTAAAGAAGAGAAAACAGTAGCGACCTAGGAGCAGGTGACCCCGAGCACCGCGCACTTTCCTGCTGGACTCTGGCCTAGTGACAGCTGACCACCGGCAGAGGCCTGCCTGCTGCCTGCCTGGGGAGTAAACGGTGGAAGCGCGCCTGCTGTCGCGTTGTCCCTAGATGCTTAGTCCTAGCGGCGACCTCGGAAGCCCTCTGTGTCGCGCCGCCTGTCATGTCTCCGGGTGGTGCTCTAGTTCAGTGCTCCAAGTCAGGGACCTTGAGGCTTAAGTACTTTCTGAATATAACGCTAAAGGTAAGTTGCATTCATTTAGACTAATAAGAGTAGAGTCCGGCACTATCTAACGACTTCGAGTCAGCGGTTCCAGTTGTACATAAGTGAGGCGACGGAGCGGAGACGAGGTCAGGCCCGTAGCTGTCAGCACTTTGAAGTGGGAGGTCATCGGAGCCTCAGCCCACTGTCTCACTGAGCTACACACTGCTGTCACTGAGGTGCATGGTGGGTGGGTGAAAGGAAACCAGAAAACTTGTTCATAGTTTCTTTTTTTTTAAAAAAAAAGCAAATTACTGACTGTATTTTTTGGCAGGAGGGAGAGGATGTGTTAAAACGGTTTCTAATGAAGTCAGATATTTAAATGATGAATGACTAATGTGTTTTGTAGAGACACAATAAACCAATAAATGATTGTCCTTTGTCATTTATGCAGGAAAGTAAGTATCCTTTTCTCGATATAACTAAGCAAAGATTAATTTATAAATGCTTTATTGAAAAATACACATATTTTCATATAAAATTACAGTAGCAGTAAGTATCTTGAGATTGTATAAATATTTTTGCAGAACACTATTCTAATGAACAGTGTAAATTCCATATTTCTTTTAGAGCAATATGAGGTTACCTAGTAACTCTGTTTATACTGATTCAATTTACAATTGAATTTTCTCCCTAATAAGATTACTCGTTCAACTTTAAAACTGCTAGAATAGTGATTAATAATTCAATAGCTGTTAAATAATGTTTTCTAATTGGTATAAATGGTACTATGTACTATAAAACCTAAATTCTCCAACCTATTTTAAACTGCTAGAACACACAGAAAGATTTTTAAATGCTTTAAATGTATCGTCTTATAGACACGTCTTTTGGACAGCTGCCTCCTAGAAGAGGTCATAATTTTTCATGTTAATCCCCCTAATTCAACTTGATTTAAACTCTTCACTTAGCCAGCTGATCCCTACACAACAGAAAACTGGAGAATCTAAAACACAGGCCCGAGAGGTGGCTACTGGGGCAGTAGCAGTTTTTGAAAAGTACAAAAGTATTAACGTCTAGCTAGGAGTTACGTTTACTTTAGAAGTTTTATATTTAATAAAATTCACATTGTAGAAAGTGCCATTGCAATATACAGCAAAATCTGGTTACAAAATCATGCTTCTCACAGCCCTAAAGTGCCACTTCCTGACCACGATCACCACATTGCACACTGGCCCCAGCGGGGCCGGGCCTCTGACTGTTCCGTGACAGGAATGCGTAAGTCTCACGCACTGGTGCTTTCCCGTGGCCTTGCGAGGGCCAGCGCCGACCAGACAGGCAGGCGGCCCGAGCTGAGCCCGGGTCCTGAGGGAGCGTGCCAGCAGGTACCTTTGCACTTCGCGACCACACTTTGTTCTGTCTGCAGCGTCTGTGAAAGCTTTGCAGGGAGTTAAAAAGAAAAAACCTCGATGGCAAGTGCTGAATGACAGGAGAAAGCCAGTTGGGATGAGCAAAATCCCGATGGCGGCAGGGCTGGGGAGCCGCCATCGCGCGCGCAGGGCGCTGCAGGGCGCGGAAAGTGCATCGTTGGGGCGACTGACCTCAGTGGGCGCCTCGGTCGTTGGCCACGTCCTGGAGACGGCGCAGCAGGGCAGAGTGGTTTTCCGGGCAGATTCTCTTGGCAGGTGATTCACTTCCATCTTCCAAAAGTATCCCTCTTTTTTTGGTTGGGGTTTCTCCTGTCCGTATCATACTGTTAATTTCTCTCAGTCTCTGTGGAAGGGGGGAAAGAAAATAACATTTTTTTAAGGCTACTTCATACTGTTCAGTGTTAAGTCAGAAAACCTCAGATGAGTTTAAGCGGTTTTTCTTACGGCGTTTGAACTCTTATAGGGAGAGTGTTGGACATTCCAGTGTTGTTCTCAGCTGGCTGAAACTTAAGATTGAGGTGGAGGCGTTATTTGTATTTTTTTTTCCACAATGTTAAGATGCACAAAATTGTAATTGCTTAAAATTTACAGTAGTCGTATAGAATAACACTTGGCTGTATTATATTTGATTGCTTCTACATACTTTTCTTTTAAAAAGACCATGACTCTGTGGCTCTCTGTGGCCTAGTGTTACAGCCCGTTCAACAACCACTGAAAGAATCCCACAGGCGAAGTAAGCTGCCTTCCTGTGGCAGCCACTGCAGGTAATCTGTCCGCGTAATCTCGAATGTGCTTGGTGTCGTCCGTGGGAGAGCGGAGCTGGCCGTGGGTGTGGAGAGAGAGGGCTGCAGGGCCCAGCGCCGCGCACAGCCCTCAGCGTGTCTGCAGAGGCTCAAGTGAGTCAGCACGTTGTTTCCTGGTAATTTGTGGGTCAGATTTATTTCACCTGCTGCCTTATGGGTGCACAGTAAGCAGAGTCCTGGGCATACACTGTAGGAGTCTACAAACCTCTTGGGGCCCGCCCCTCCCAGCATTGCTTTCAAGCATATTCATAACATCTTGGATCTTTATTTTGAAATAAAGAATACTGGTGATTTTATTTAAAAACTCGGAAGAGTCTATCACCAGCACAGGTGCCTTCTCAGACCTTGGCCACCTAGAAACGCTCCCCTCTGGCCCTTTCCCAGCCCTGCGCTTGCTGTCTCTAGGCTCCGCCTGAAACTCCCTGCCCATTACCGGCGCACCGCACATGCTGACTGTGTGTGACGCACACGTCACTGCAGGTGTGCACGGACACAGCAGCATCTGTGCAGTGCACCGGTTTAGACATCCATCATCTTTTTTGTACAGTTATCCCCCCAAAACTCACACAGACGCTACCGAGGCTCGCTGTGTTGCCCTGTGCAGGTCAGTCACTGAGCACGCCAGGCAGCTGCATCCTCTGTTCATCCTGGGCCCGTGTTTACTGGAAATGCGGCAGTGTCTGCTGTGAGGCCCCACAGACTTCAAGTGGCGTATTTCATGGACTGTCAGGTACCACTTGGAATGTCTGTTAACTTAGTTGAGATTGTCTGATTCTCCCATAGCAACATGCATGAACCACATCGCTTACCTGCTACGCAGCGTACCAGTAGCTGTGTGGTAGTTTACTCCCGGGCTGAGGTGTGCTTTGCCCCCAATATGTAATGTTGTAAGCAATCCTCTTCCAGCGAGCAGGCCACACACCATCTGTGGTGGCTGCCAGTTCTCTTCTCCTGGTCTTCAGGTTGTAGGAGTCCAGGTTGGGTTTAGGGCCACAGTACTTCCAGCTTTGTCCCAAACTTCCTTGATCTCAGCCGCCTCTATGAAATCACTCTGACAGCACCTGCTCTCACATGTATTGGAGAAACTCCCAATTCTGTGTAAAATTGTTTGTTTTGAAATCCCCTAAACAGTGATAGCATGCAGACAGGATTGAGAAGCTACGGCTCCGGACGCGTGATCTCAACTCCTTTTGCACGAAGTACTTCTGAAAGGTTTACACATGGTCTCCCCTCTCGGGGCACCTCTGCATGTCTGGACAGGCGGAGAGCACCACAGTGGGACTAAGTAGCGCTTCAGGACTGCTGGGCCCCCACCCACACATGCACTGTCCAGAGTTCTGTGTCTCCCAGACCTGGGGTCGCAGAGTGGCCGGCCTGCCCCCGGACCGGCTGTTGGGGCTCTGGCTGCTTCTTACTGTGGTCATCAGAGTGAGCAGCGGTGCAAACAGCGGCGCAGGCTGTCGTGTGAGTCTGAGTGTTCATCCCGGGGCTGTGCTGTTGTGTGCCAGGTCCACGTAGTCAGCGCTTCCCTGACTTGCACGTGGCTGGCTTCTCACCGTTAGGTTCTGAGAATCTGTCTTTGGTACGAGTGCCTCATAGACGAGTTTACTGTAAACTTTCTCCCTGTCTGTGGCCAGCTCTTCTGCGTCCTTCAGTATCTTTTACAGAGCAAAGTTCTTAAATGTGCCGACACCCACAGATTGTGCTTCCGATAGCAAGTGTTATGTAAGCTGCGTTCACAGATTTTCTTGCAGATGTTGCGTTACCTTAGGAATGCTCACTCAGACTGTTTCACGCTGGGCGGACGTGGCATCCGTGTGCCGCCGCTTGCCGAGAATGCCGCCCGCCCCGGGGCTAGTCTGAGTCCTTCCACTTTATCCAAATTGTTTATTCTAGCTCCTTTGAAATCTCACTTAGGTTTTGGGTTCTGTAAATAATTCTGGGATTTTGACAGGAGTTAGACTGAATTTATGGGCCAAGTGGGATATTGTTTTCCCATTTGTGAACAAATACTGCTTTCTGTTTGCTTAGTCTTGAGATCTCACACCAAGGTTCTGATTTGTCAGGTTAAGAATATTGTTCACCTGTTGTTAACAAATTAAATACTTAGACACCAGTTTGTGGTGTTTTACACTTTTACTTTATTGTTTATTGCTGGTATATAGAAATCACTTGGTTTCTGTGCGCTCACTGCAGCCTCGGTAGTCATATTGGCTCCAGGAAACAGATGCAGACAATGTCGTTCTTGCTTTCCAGTCTGCGTGCCTCAAGTAACTGCTCTACTGCAGAAGCGGGCCCCCAGGTACCAGTCCCCTCCCCACCATCCATATCCCCGTTTCTACCTCTCAGCCCCTCATTTACCACTGTATCTCCCCATCTCACAAATGTCCAGTCTGTCTCGATCTGTGTGCACCGCGCTCTGCCTCTCCCTTCTCCACAGTTCTAGCCCCACCTACCGCTCCCCTCCAGATGTCCACAACGGGAGGGAGAGAGGTTTCCTCTCCCCCCATTTCCACCTCTTCTTTCTCCCTGTATCCCACTACCTCTTCTCTGACACACTCCATCCTCCTCATCCTTGACCCTCTCTGCCATCTCTTAGCTCCGCCTATGCTCTCACCACCTCAGTGTCTCTCTCCTGCCTATTTCTACCCCTCCCTTTCTCACTGCTTTTCAGCCCTTTGGTATCTCTCTCCCCTGCATACTCACCTTCTCTGTGTACCTTTATTTTAATTCCCATATTTCGCTTTTTCTCTCCCTAGCTTTCACCTTACATGTCATACTTCTCTCTCAGCCTGTTTTCCTCGCTGCCTGTGAGCCCTTTGGTGTCTTTGCGATATCTAAAAACTTTACCTCTATACCTATTGCTTTGTCTCTACCTCTTTCAGCCTATCTCCGCCACTATCATCTTACTGTCTTCTCTCCACATCTCACTCGCTCAGACTTCCCACATCTACCTCTCTATATTCTCCCATTTCCTCAGGCTCCCTCTTACATTGTCTTTACACTACACCCTCAGGTCTCTGTAGCTCACCACCTCTTTCAAAAATTGAACACCCATTTATTAATCTCTTACCTCATTTGTTGTAATTGCTAAGTTGGACCAGGTGAAAGTAAAGTGCTGACATTTTAAGTCTGAATACCCAAGAAATTTAAAGGCACACATTAAAACACCAAAGTCCACATTAAATCCCACTTATACCACTTTAGGGTCCGACTTAAGTTCCCTTTCCCCTAGCACACCGGAGGACACACCAATCTGTGCTAATAGAGAAACTGCCTGTTCAGAGACAGGAACCACTTGAGAATTAATTTTGTCCTAACAAAGTTGGAAGTACAGAAGGCTCAGATTGTACATACATACAGCAAGGAAGGGATGAAAATAAGTCTGAATCCATCAGCCTCAAGACTTCTGATTTTGCTCCCCTGTGGGGGCTGAAGTCTACCATCAGCCTAAGCGTTTGGCACAGTTGGGTTAAAGAAAAAGATTTATATCAGGCTCACCTTTGAGGGGCTGTTGCTGAAGTAATAGAAAATCTTCTCTCGAGGAGAAAGCATTGTTTCGTGTTTATGTGGGGAAATGTAGACAGGATGATTGTGAGACAGCTGCACACGGCGAGGGGAGCCTGTCCTTACAAATGGGTAAGGCGAGAGTGGCGGAGCATCCACCTGTTAACAAGGGAAATAAAACTTCCAACCAGACTTCAGGGCTGGATTCTTTTTTCCGGAGAAAGCATGGTGACCGTTACGAGCAACATTCAGTGTTTGCTTTGGGCCAGGCCTGGATTAAGCATTTTAATGTGCTACCCTTTAAGCCTCACAGCAACCCACAATAAGAAAAATAACTTGCCAGCTGGTCCTAGGTGGTAAGCTTTGGCCAGTTTGAACCCAGACACTACCTTCGCTTCTTCTAGATAGAGGTCACCTCAGTCCACAAACAGGCTCATTTGTAAATCCAGCGGCCACTGGAGGTGCACAGGCTGATTCCTCACCCCTCCCAAGGAAAAAATGCACGAAACAATCCCTGTTGCACTTACTAGGTTTGCCTGTGAGTACTTCATGGCGAATGTTTGAATTCTCTTGATGTAGATGTTGTTGTAGAACTGAATGAGGTCTCCCCGCTCTTCCTCTTCCACGTCGCTGTTGGCGCCGGCGAGGCGGGTCGGGGTGGGCGGAGCGCTACCGGGCTGCGGGACAGGCAGAGTGCTGCTGGACCGCATGACGGGGCTGGAGTCTCGGCTCGCTGCAGCAGGGGTTGAGGGTGGCGAGCGTGTTTAGTGGCAACCACGGGGCACTTCAGTGCGCACTGACGTAGCCCCACCCCACTGCTGCTGCAGGACCTGCACCCTGGCCCTACCGACATGTCAGACTTCGCGGGTATTCAGGTCAACATACTCTCCCTGATAGCTCAAGTTACCATGGAGAAAAAATGTTACATGTGGCATGACTCTGAGATGGACAAAAGTTAAAAATCTGTTTATTCCGACAAATCCTTTGCCAATAAAATACTTTCATAGTAACCTGTACTTACACTAGACCTAAAAAGTCAGAGTTCATAAAGATTCTACTTACTTCTGTCTTTTAGTTCTGTTGGAGAATTCTGATGGCTTCTACTGTCACTGCTTCCAGAGTTTCTTCTTTTTCTTTTACCTTTTATCAAAACACTTCTATAGACCTTTAGAAAATCATAAGGAGAGAATCTGGTATTTAGCACTTTCTAACTGACATCCAACTTAAGTCTCACAACCACCCCACCTAGCAGGGGTATTTCTTAGAGGAGGGTAAGAAATGTAGCTATTAAGTAGCAAATCAAGGATTACACTAAAAGCTATGCAGTAGTACGGTATCCAGCCGTAAAACCAAGGCATTCTAAGCCAAATATGAAAATATGGTTATTTCATCTTTGACACAGGTGAATAGGAAAAGATCCATAAGTGAAATTTAAAACCTATCTTCACTAATTGTAGAATATTGGGATTCCTAGATGACACAGAAGCCAAACGACTTCTTTCACATCTGTTTTGTGATGATCCCATTAAGGAATCTAGTGTTTCATATCATCACTTTTGGGAAAACAGAGGCCAGACTAACAGTGACATTATCTATCAGAGGTGATTAGAGTAAGATGTCCCTTAGTTGCTTATGCTGGACAGAATCCCATGTGACTTTCTTATACTATCTAAGATGATGAGCTTTTTCTCTTAGCCCTGAGAGAAAATGTTACCTGGCTCCGGGCCTGTGGCTGAGTCCTGTAGCAACGCATGATATTTTGGAAGGATTTGTCTTCTTTTGTAACCTGGCAAAGAATAAGAGTACTGTGAAAAAAAAAAACAAAAAAACGACTCTATTAACTGTTAATAGAAGAGCTCACCCAAGGTGTAGAGATTAAGCAACTGAAGTAAAATAACAACTTAAGTTTGCACCTATCTTCATTAAGTGTAGAATACTGTGATTCAGCACACTGAAAGTGACACAAGCCAAGTAACTTCCTTCACATCTATTTTATGATGAGTTATATTAAGAAGGGATCAAATATTTCATACTTTCATACCATTACTTTTTTTTTTTTTTAAAGAGCTGGCGTGTACGCCAGAGGGGTAGGGGTAGTGATGAGAGGATTCCGCAGAGACAGTATGGGAGCAGTGGACAACACAGGAGAGGTCTGCTGTGCCACCAGGGAGGGCCTCACCATTACCTTCGGGGAGACGTTGGAGAAACGCGGCACATCAGTAAGCACACCGAGAGAGAAAAGTGAAACAAATGATCCAGGAGGAAAAAAGGCTGAAAACTTCACAAACTTATTCAGGAAGTTCAACACATTCCAAATACAATCCATACTTAGAAATGTAGTTAAAATGCCAAAGAACGGGGGAGAAAATGTTTTCACTAGCTAGGGAACCCTGACTTCTCACCAGAAAGGCAAAGAGGAAGTGAAACAGTAAAATGGACACGATCTCAGACAAAAAGAATTTGTTGCTAGCCAAGACCCATCTTAATACTAAAAGTTCTAGTTAAAAGGGACCTCAGATAATAATGCAAATGCACACAAAACAAAGCGCAACCAGTAACATGATTTTAAAATACAGAGTTCTGGCCCTCCCTGGTGGCGCAGTGGGTTAAACACAGCATTGAGAAGCTAAAGCCACTTCTGCATGAGTTCGATCCCCGCCTGCCGCCTGCCCCGGAGTTGACCACATGGTGCGGCAGACCTCCCCTGACCTGCCCGCTGCTCTCCTCAGCAGTGTACTTCATAGATCTGCCTGTTCTGCTCCCCACTCTGTCTCTGGTGAAGCCTCTCACCGCCTCTGGCCTATACCCCAGTTCTGTATGCACAAATAAATAAATCTTTAAAAAAATAAATAAAATAAAATACATAGTCCTTCTCCTCTTTGATACATAATTGGGCCTATATAGACACATGATATATTTGCCAAGACCAGCACGGTGGAGGAGTTCACAAGGAAGGCTCTCATAGGCAAAATAAGGAAATCATAAGATTAATATTGGAAAAGCTATGAAAAACACTGCTCTTTCAACTTCTTTAAAAGTAAAAATTTTTATCATTTTAATAATGTGTTGCCGGATTTTTAACATTTATGAATAACTACGAACAAATTACTACCAGCAAAAAGGATGAAACAAATAGTTATACAGAAGCACATTAAGTTAGCATAATCTGAAGCTGGTTTTGGTAGTTTCAGCCACATACATGGGGGTTAGAGAAAGTGGGGGCTGTTGGTGGAGGCCCTGAGTTTCCAGTTAATGAGATGAATGAGTTATGGGGAACTAATTTACAGCATAGTGACTACACTTAATATTGTATTATATTTGAATGGTGCTGAGAGTTGATATTAAATGTTTCTATTACAAAAAAAAATTATTCTGTTGTAATGGATAATTGATCTTACTGTGGTCATCACAACATATGTATTTATACAATGTTATGTCAGTGATACATCAAGAAAGCTGAGGGCAAAGGGAGAAAAAAGATGTATATGACTAGCTCTAAAATAATCACTACTGAAATGAAAATGCTACATTAGGAAAGAAATTCACCTAATGCAAAAACTAAAAGCAGTAAGGGAAGAGTAGAGGACCAAAGACTTCAGAAGCAGAAAAAGCAAGATGGCAGACGTAAATACAGTATGTTACAACAGTAACAATTCAGTGAGGTGGATTAAACAGAATCCAAAGGCAGAAATTATCAGAGTAGGTAAAAAAGGAACCCAAATATAATGCCTATACGAAACCCTTTGAACAAAGTATAAAAGTGAAGCAACCTACTCAGAAAATAAATGAAAATGCTCACAGGCTCTTCTCCACACAACTCGGCACATGAAAAAAATGCCCCCATGACATACTGTCAGGAAAGGCAAACCCAAACTACAAAGAGCTCCCACTTCATGTTGTGAGAATGGCCCGTGTCAGAAAGACCAGAAATCAGTGCTGGAAAAGGGGTGCTGAAAAGAGAGTCCTCTTGCACTGCTGTGGGCAGGGACGCTGGTCCTGGCCCTATGGAAAACAGGAATCGAGACTTATCAAGACATTTGTCTGCCACACAGCCCAGCGACTCCACCCCGACATCAGCTCAAGGCCTGCACAAACACTACCTTGACGGGTGGTGCACCCTCTGTTCACCGCAGCACTGTTCACAGTAGCCAGGTCAGGGAAACAGGCGATGCGCCATGCGCATGAGAAAGTGGCGTGTGTGCGCACAATGGGCCTCTGTTCGCTAGCAGGAAGACAAACCCTTGCCACTTCTGACAGCACGGTGGATCTGGAGGGGATCATGTTAAGTCAATTATATGTGGAATAAAGAAAAACCAAACAAAGGATGAGAAAATGCCAAAAGAACAGAGACTACCAAAGGATAGAGGGGAAAGGAGTGAGAAGGCAGGGAGGGAGCACAAAGGACTGCCAGGGTTTGGGGGTGTGGGGCAGTAACAATGACGGGGTGATAGTATAACTCCAAATTAGTGATGGGGTGCAAACTAATGTTACCTGAAGAAAAGAGGGGGTGAGGGGAGATAGCAACCCCAAGAAGTTGGATGGCTCTATATAATATTTCACATAGTAAAAGTTACCAGAGAGGAAAGTTTCATTATGATAACAGAATACGTTAGGGAGCTGTAATTAATACACACAGCAGCTACAACATAAACGAAACTAATAATCTCTAACCAAGTCCCAGATAACATATCTAATAACAAAGAGTCAAAATGTGTGGCGTAAAAGCTGTTGGAAATGAAGCAGGAAATAGGCAATTTAGCAGTACTATTTTGAGAATTCAGGATCCTGCTTCAAATAATGGATAGAAGATCAACGAGGAGACCAAACCATAGAACCAATAGGCTATATGGCCTATTCCACTCAGCGACAACAGAACAGTGACCGTCATCCATGATGTGCTATATGCTAGGCTACAAAATTGACTTTGATCAGTATAGAAGAATTGAAATTTGGCAAGATCCCAAATTAAGCCACAGACATAACCAATGACTCAAACGTATCAGAGAACATTCAGGAAAGATCGTGAGTTTCCAGAGTAAAAATGAAGCCACAATATATCAAAAATTAAACAGCTAACAACTACTGGTAGTAGCAAAAGAAGACTAAGATGGAAGTAAATTATACTAGAGCACATATTCATAAATGAAAAGTAAAAGTGATTCTTGGACAAGCTCAACAAGGTTAACCTATAGCTGGAATGACCAAGGTTAGAAGAGCGAACCCAAATTACTAATGACCTGTGTGCACAGAGGTCAAAGGCACAGTGCTAATAAGCTTTCACTAGCCACTGCAGGCAAGTCGATCCCCAGCCAGGGAGTGAACCACGGTGCAGCAGACCTCTCCTCTCTGCCTACTGCTCCCCTCTGCAGTGGATTTCAATTGGTCTGTCTGCTCCCCATCCTGTCTCTGGTGAATCCCCCTCCCCCCCATGCCTGGCCTGTACCCCAGTTCTTGTACACACGGATAGATAAATCTTTATAAAAAGGAAGCAAAAAACAAAAAAACAAAACAACCCCAGAGGAAACAGGCAAATTTCGAGAAAGACATAAAGACATTACCAAAACTCGTACTAGAATAGATGATCTGAACAGACATATAAGAAGACTGAACTATTATCAACAAAATACCCACAAAGAAAGCACAACCCCAGGGCTTCCCAGTTGCATTCTACCACACATTTGAAGACTATCAATTCTTCACACAAACTTCAAAAAAACAGCAGAAAAGAAAGTAATACTCCCCATGCAGTAGATGAATCCGATATTATCCTCACAATAAAGCCAGACAAAGCCTTACCAAGAAAACTATAGACCATTACTTTTATTACTAGAACAAAATTTCTTGACAAAATGCTAACAAACCAAACCTAGTAACATAAAAAGAATTATACACCCTGATAACATGGGACTGAAAGCTAGTCTAACAGATGAAAATCAAGGTAATCTATCACTTATCAGACTAACAAAATCCCCTTAATCATCTCAAAGAATACAGAAAAAGCATTTGGCAATTTCCAATACCCTTTCATATTTGACAAGTGAGAACAGAAATTCAACTTGATAAAGTCATCCATGAAAGAAATTAGATTAATACAACTTTACTGGTGGAAGACTACGTCTTTCCTCTTGAGATCAAGATAAGCATTTCTGCTCTTAATACTTCTTTTCAACGTTGTACTGAAGGTTCTAGTCCGATTAATTACAAAAGAAATAAAAGGTCAGTTTAAAGTTAGATTATGTGACATATATAAAAAGCCCTAAGGAATTTGCTAAATTTGAATTATCTGTATTTTAGTAGACTTAAAACGAGCATATCAAAACTGAAACTACTGAACTTATAATAGCATGAGAAAGAATTCAGAGGAATAAAACTAGCAAAAGAAGTCCAAAAGTTGTACTATGAAAACTCCAAAACCTTGTTTAAATAAAAGATGATCTAACTATATGGAAAAAAATATCCTAGGTGCATACATGAAAGGATGAAATGTTGTGATAGCAATACTCCCCCAAACTGATCTGTAAAGTCCACACAATCGCTATCAAAACCCCAACTGCCCTTTGTGAAAATGACAAAAGCTGATCACAAAGAATTTCAAAGGGCTCCGTCTAGCCAAAGTAACCTTGAAACGACAAGTAGAGATTAATTTCAAAAATTTCATCATGTCAACAGTTTATCAAGAGAGTACAGTAGTGCATAACGGTAGTTATGAGAGTCCCAAAATAAACCCATTTGTCTGCGGTCAACTGATTTGTAGCGAGGAGTCCAGGAGCCCAGTCTTCTCAACAGCAGTGCTGGCGCCGGCAGAGCCCCCATGAGGGTGAAGCTGTACCCCTACCTCAGAAATCAGTCCAGGGATCAAAGACATAGATATTAAAGAGTAAATGCTTCGAGGAGAACATGGATAAATTTCCATGCCCTTGGATTTGGCAATCACAAAAATGTGACACTAATCAGACAGAAAGCAGAAGCAACAAAAGAAACTAAAATAACAGTATCAAGTAAGTGAAAAGATGAACAAAGAAAATTATTTGTAAATCACATCTGATCAAGGAACTGTATTTAAAGAACTACAACCCAACCCAATTAAAAGTTGGCAAAGATAGTTAAACCGCACAGTACGGAACAAAACAGATACAATAGAACCAAGGAACAAAACAGATACAGTAGAACCAAATAAAACCTACCGATTTATGGATAAATAATATTTGACAAAGTAGCAAAGAATATAACAATGGAGCAAAGACAGTTTGTTCAAATAGATGGTGCTGGGAAAACTGGACTGCTACATATAAAAGAATGAAGCTAGATTACTACTTCACACTAAGCACAAAGACCAACTCAAAATGCATCAAAGAATTGGACATATGACATGAAGGGAAAGATAAAAAGCTGGGACTACATCAAATTAAAGAGCTTCTGTACAGCAAGAGAGACTAACCAGATGACACCCCATGATTGGGAGAAAATTTTTGCACACAATACTAATAACAAGGGCCTGATCACAAAGATCTACAGACAGCTAATGAAGCTCAACAAAGAGAGTCAACAATCCAGTCAGAAAAAGGGCAGAATAACTTAAAATACACATCTCCAAAGAGGAAATGCATGGCCAACAGGCATATGAAAAAATGTTCAACACCCCTCAAAAACAGAGAAATGCAAACTAAAACCACACTGAGATACCACCTTACACTAGTAAGAATGCACACATTAAAACCACCAACTACAGGCCCTCCCTGGTGGCGCAGCGGGTTAAAGCACAGCACTCAGAATCTAAAGCCACTTCCGAATGAGTTCGATTCCGCCTGCCCCGGAGGTGACCACATGGCGTGGCAGACCTCTCCTGGCCCGCCTGCTGCTCCCCTCAGCAGTGTACTTCGTAGATCTGCCTGTTCTAATCCCACTCTGTCTCTGGTGAAGCCTCTCGCCACCCCTGAGCCTCTGGCCTCTGGCCTGTACCCCAGTTCTGTATGCACAAATAAATAAATCTTTTAAAAAAAAAAAAAAACCACCAACTACAAACAGTGGCGAGAATGTAGTAAAAAAAGAATTTTCCTACACTTCTCTGGGAATGCAACTGGTCCAACCACCATGGAAAGCTGTGTGGAGGTTCCTCAGACTACTAAAAATAGAGCTACCATATGACCCAGCAATTCCACCCAAAGGACACAAAAACATTAATTCAAAAGAAGACATACACCCTATGTGTACTGCAGCACTGCATTATAATCAGTAAGACCAAATGCCCCCAAATAGATGAAAGGATCAGGAAGATGTGAGATACACACACACACACACAACACACAACACACACACACACACACACACTGGAATATTATGCAGCAATAAAAAGGATAAACTAATGACATTCACCACAACCCAAGTGGAGCTCAAATGGATTCTAGTCAAATAAGTTAGAAGGAAAAAGAAAAATATCAGATGGCTTCAGTTATAGAAGGAATATAGGGGATCAAGGAAAAAAAATAACAGTAACCAAGAAAAGCATAAGTAAACAAATGTAAACAGACAATTATAAATCGGAGACATTATGCAAGGAAGAGGGAGGGAAAAGGATCAAAGCAAGAGTGGGAAAAGCACAAGGGACTATGTTATGGTGCCCAGGTGAGTTGGTGGTGGAAATTTTACAGAAACTACACCCAAGCAAAGAAAGCAAACACTATAAGAAAAAACAAAGTAATAGGTTAAAAAATAATAATTAATGGGGAAAGAATATAAACATAAATACAAATGGCCAGCAAGCAAAGATGCTTGATGTCATTAGTCAGCAGGGAAATGCAAGTCAAAGTGACAGTGAGATAGCACTTTATACTGGGACGGCCAGGAAAAAAACTCAGGTAATAATGACCAACAGACCTAATACAAGATGCTCAACCTTACCATTAAAGAAGAGCAAAGCAAACCACTGTAAAAGTACCAGTCAACACCCACTGGCCGCAATAACAGAATGGAAGACAGAAGTTGACAGGGATATAAAGAATTGGACTTTCAATCATTGCTACTAGGAATGTAAAATGATGCAGCTGCTGTGAAAAACAAAATATCAAAATATACTCATCTAGCACGCTTTTGGTATCTATATAGGAGAACTGAAGCCCAAGGCTCAAAGAAATATTTATACACCCTTGTTCACAGTAGCATTAAAGTAGCCCCAACATGGAAGTCAATCAAATGTCCATCGATGGTCAAACATAAAGGTACATATATCTGTAAGCATCCTTTTCAGCCTACACAAGGAAGGAAATGCAAATTTATACTATAATGTATCAGCAGATAAACCTTGAGGATATTATACTATCTAAAAATAGTGACAAAAGATAAATACTATGATTCCACTTATATGAGGCAACTAAGATAGTCAAATACATGCAACAGAAAGTAGCAGGATAAGAGGGAGGTGCTAGAGAGCCACTTCTTAATGTGTAAGTGTGTTACTCGGCTGGGATAGAAATGTTTGGGCGCTAGATCAAGGTGGTGGTTGTACAGTATACTGAGTGCATAATATGCAGGTCGGCTGTTCATTAAAAATGATTAATTTTATGTTATGTGAATTAAATTATTTAAAAAAATTAAAGCGGGCAATAAAATGTTAATGAGAATGTGGAGAAATCAGGACTTTCCTATACTGCCGGCAGGAATGTGAAATGGGGCAGTAACTCAGGGAATACTCTGGCAGTTCCTCAAAGAGTTACCATATAATACAGAAATCCACTTCTCATTTCAAAGAAAAATGAAAACATGTCCATGCACAATTCTGTACACATATGCAGAGCAGCATTATTCATAATACCCCAAAGGGAAAACAAACAAAATCTATCACCCAGACAATGGAGAAACAAAACACCGTATTCATAGAACAGCATATAAAGTCCTAAAACGACTGATGTTAGCTACACATACTAAAATCTACCGAGTTGCACACTTCAAATGAGTTACACAGTATATGAATTACACCTCAAAGCTATTAAAAAGTGTGCTGAGACCAAGCAGAGACCTCTTCCCCTTTCCTTTTTTTTTTTTTTAAAGTAGAGAGAATTTAATATATATTTTTAAAGATTTATTTCTGCATACAGAACTGGGGTACAAGCCAAAGGTGCAGGGGAGGTGACAGGATTCACTAGAGACAGAGTGGGGAGCAGACCAGGCAGACTGCTGAGGGGAGCAGCAGGCGAGACAGGAGAGGTCTGCTGCGCCCTGTGGGTCACCTCTGAGGTGGGGATCGAACTTGCACTGAAGCGGCTGCGGCTCACTGGCAGTGATGCGTCCTAACCCGTTGCACCACCAGGGAGGGCCCCTTTCCCTTTTATACTGCGTTGCACTCACCTTTGCCATCACATAAATGGCGCACATTAACAGCTGGTCCAGGTGTCTGTCCATCATGAGTTCAGGACACTGTATTATGGAGAACTCAAAGCAGGTCCAGATTTTTTTCCTCAGTTCATCTGAAATATCCAATTTAGCACAAAGATCCCGAAGGCGGACACCAGCTAAATGGTACACCTAGCAGATAAACACGTTTCAGATACTGTTTATTTAAACACTTAAAATTTTCAAACTCACATCCGGTAAGTAGAATGAAAAATTACCTTTCTAAAAAAAAGTGATAAAGAGCTGGTCTTCCTGGGCCTACTACCGCTGCAGGTTAAAGGCTGTCCCTGTTTCTTCTGCGGTCCTCCTGGGGACATCTGTTGAATGGCCACCTGACCGGACACTTGCAAGGTTGCTCCTGTCATCTGCTGAGAACTCAAACTCCCAGTCAGGGCCTGAGCACTGAGGGGCTGGATGGAGCCAGTCACTGCTTGTGCCTGCCCCCCAACGTTGACTTGGACTGGGAAGAATGTTATCCCTCCATTTTCATTGGCAATACCTATAATTTGGTACAAGAGAAAAAAGCATGAAGAAAATGTGGTAACACAAGGTCTCTGGGCAGAGTTCCAGCTCACTCCCAAAGCCTTTCTCCTCCACTCATTTCATACTGTCACTCCAGCCAAGCCACAGGCAGTTCCAATAAATGCCACAAAGAATACAAAATCCAACTCTGCCTTTCTTACCTTGTACAGGAATAGTCACTGTTTGTCCATTGTTGGCTGTGACAGTGGCTGTAGCCATGGTAACCAAAGTCTGTCCAGGAACTGGTGTGACAGAAACAGGCTCCCCAGATACATTCTGCACAGGGACAGCATTGACTAGGGGCTGTGGGGGGATGCGTCCCGATGTCCCTCCTTCAGAGGGGCTATCGTTGTCAACGAAGAGCCGCCTTCTGGTAGAACTGGCTGTGGGGGAGCTGTACCTGTCATACAATGTTGCTGGAGATGTTATGCCTAGGGTCAAAGAAACAGCAAAGAAATTATTTAACTTGAGAAGAATGAGATCTGACTTCCATTCAAGTCACTATATTCAAACCTCATTACAGTGTTTGAAATACTTCAGAATTTAAGAAACAAACAGGGCCCTCCCTAGTGGCACAGGGGATTAAGTCACAGCACTGTGAAGCTGTCCGCAGCCACTGCAACACAAGTTTGATCCCCGGCCAGGGAGTGACCCACAGGGTGCAGCAGGCCTCTCCTGTCTCCCCACTGCTCCCCTCAGCAGTGGATTTCAACAGATCTGTTAAGGGGAAGGATGTCCTAAAAGAACTCTACAGAGTTGGTGGACTTCACCCCTACTCCAGCTTTCTGGATTCCACCCCCTACTCCAGTGATGGGAAACTACAACTCCCAGCAGTACCAAGGAGAGAACTGCGAGAACCCAAGGGCGGAGCTCAGCAGCATCGTGGGACTTTGGGGGATAACTGGGGAGCGGTTTTCCAACTGACACTCTGGCGAGGTAATGGTTTTCTCTCTCTGGAGCAAGTGCTCTCTGACCGTGTGACTGGGGCTAGCAGTGTTAAGTTTGGGACGAGAGTTCCAAGTTAGCCCGCTGGTAAAGTATTCCAGTTACTTTGTATCCCTCTCAATTACCCTGGGTTGTTCCTTTTCCTTTCCCTTTTTTTGATAATAAACCCATTACCCTTTCTGTGTGTGCCTGCAGAAAATGATGTTTTGAGCGCGCGGGTGAGGCCCCACAGACAGGCAGCCCAAGTCCCCTCTGGGCTACCCTGTAACTGATGCACCTGCTCTGCTCCCCACTCTGTCTCTGGTGAATCTGCTCACTGTCCTGCACCTCTGGTTTGCCCCTCCCAATGCTTGTATACAAAAATAAATACATCTTTAAAAAATATATATTCTAGGAGTCATGTCATAGCTACATTTACCTAATGAAAATTCAATGAAATATTAAGAGCAAAATTTTAAGAAAAGTATTTTCTCTTTGTCATATAGTATTTCTTTTCTCACTCCACCATTTGCTAAATCAAACCAGACTTTCCCTTCTGCTACTACAAAACTTTGACGACTTAGGGGCAATTTAAGGAATTATACTACTTTTCTATGATATTTTTGACCATATTCAATTTCATTCTAATGCTAATGTATGGTGTTACTGTAGACACTACTGGATGAAGGGACTTGATATTATTATGGTATCATATGTAGCATTTCCTCCCAGTTTTATGACTTTCCATGTCTGTCTTTCTCCACATTTAGAAAATGACAATAGCTCAGAAATCTTCAGGGAGAATGATCATACATGTTTTGGGCTTAAGTACGTTCAGCTGGAGGCATTGGTGGCACCGTGGTGAGCACTGCTGCCTTCCAAGTAAGTTTTGCTTATTGTTTTTTTTTTTTTT